ACTTTTATATATAAAATCTCTTAAAATTAAGCAAATAATCTATCTATATATATAGCATATCTATATTCACTATTTAAATACTGTTAGAACTTATAATCTTATAAAATCACGTTTAAGAATGATATAGTAAAAATAGTACCGCTTATCCTCAAAAGTTTTTGTAAAATGATATTCCTGATGAAAATGATGTGATAGGTTATGCTTTTTTTTCTTGGTGCATGCATGTTTGCCAACCGCTTTTCCCCGTCTGTCCGTCCGTCCTGTCCGCCAGTGTCCGTCCCTGTCCGTCCATGTCCGTGTCCGTCCGGCTCGGCATCCGCGTCCGCCTCCGTGTCCGCCAGTCTCCGTCCGCGTCTGACTCACGTCTGCACGGGGCATGTCTATTTGTCTGCTGAAAACGGAACCGAGCTGCCAACAACAACAAACGGGGGCAGGAACAGAAACACGTCACTATGTGTGAGTGCAGTCGTGCTCCACGGCGAATGAGTAATTTCAGTGGCAAGAAGGGGTTCTTTCATTTTCGAAGGGCCAAGGAGAGGGCCGCATTGTTTTGGCCGTCGCTTTCGTTTAGCCCTTTTGTGCGAAACATGTTAGCGTGTATTTTTGAAGCCATTTTCTGCTGCATTTAGTCCTTTTATGGGTTTTCAATGATGTCTCTAAAGGATAGTTTTACAATTGCTTCCCTTTCATATAAACTGAACATTGTAAAATATATGATTAGAGAGAGTTTATTTGCTGACTCACTATTATTGAACTATATTTTCTCAACGGCTTGTGCTTTTTTAGTGATTTTCCAACACTTTTATTTCACAAATGGCTTCAATGGAGTGTTGACATAACCGCCTCGCTCTGCCACTCATGATGCCCATTTCCTTAAGCTCCAAAAGTGCCAAATCATGAGATTGTGCTGCCATGGCGATTGCGATGAAAAACCGTGAAAGTGGAGGACTATGGGTCCGAGGACATGGCTTAGAGAACGGGTGTTGACAAGAAACCCTAACAGCTGAGACAATCCCAAGACGCAAAAAGCAGCCGCAATGATGACAAGAGCAATCGGAGCCCGAAGTACGAAGAAATCAAAGCCCTCGATTTGCCTTTCAGCCAAATCCCACTGACAGATTAATGGCGGGGGCGTGCCCGGGGCGAAATCCAAGACCATGTCCATGTCCATGTCCAAGTCCACGTCCAGACAAGAAACCGCAATCGCAATCAAATTTATTTATTTATTTTTATGTTTAGCCGTTGGCAGTTTTCTCATTTGTGCCCAGCGCAGCACATAAGCTGACAGCCCCATCAACTTGTTTTCCCCTTCGGTGGGGAAAAGGGGTTTTTGGGGGTTGGTTCGAAAGGGTCGAGGTCAGGCTAATGATTAATACGCTCGCTGGTCCAGCGAATCGGAGTGTGGAGTGTCCACCGCAGCAGATCTGCAGCATTATCTTGCCTTACGGTACCAATTAACAAGTCTAGAATATGCTTGGATCGAATTTGGGTTTAACCTGTTTAAATAAAGGATGTCTGAAAGTTTCGTATTTAAAGTTGGCCATCTCTATAAAATATTTCGTTATAAAGCTGTTTAGCCTATATAGTAGTACCTTTTCTTTATAACCACTAAAACGAACGTAACTTAACGGAACTTTGAGTAATGGAAGTTCGATTAAGGTGGTCTTGCTATCTTGCGTAAAATGAAAAACTTTGACAGATATATTTTTGGCTATATATAATGCTGCATATAATTAAATAATGGAGAACCCTTCCAAAATTGTAAATGAAGGTCAAAGTTCTAAAATTAATGTTTTCTATTTTAGTTAAAATATGAGCTATTGATTTTCACAAGCCTATATTATTATTATGTTTGGACTTGGGGAAGCTTTCAATCAGAAATGTTGCAAATTACGTTTTTCTTCCAATCAAAGTTTTATTGTTTCCCACTGATGTGCTAGTTAGGGAATCCTTACTGTTTTTATATGGGTCCCTCAAGTTCTGGGGGGGATTACGGTTCGCAGCGAGAACTACTGGGCTTTATGGAGTGCGGACACAAATAAATCACCTGTCGGGGAGCCTTGGCTAAGACCTGGTCGAACAAAAAATATAAATTAGAAAATCCAAAACGGAGGAGAGAGTGTGGGAAAGTGGGGGAAGCAACAGAATAATCCTCCATTACCACACTTCCTGACCTGACCCTGGCATGTGCCATAGTGTGTGTGTGTTGGTGTGTCCGATGGCACTACTTTCACACATTCGCCTGCTGCTATAGTATGTACTCCTGCACACGCACACATGTGTATATATGCCAGGGATATGCGTGAAGGACCTTCGCCATCGACCACACCGCACCACTCCGCCGGACGTGCGAGCGAGACGGCAGCCTTAACAGAAGTCCTTGGTGCGCTCTCAGCAGAGGGGGAATGCTCTCTCGCACAGAGAGAGAACCAGAATACTACTCGCTCGTAGTACTCGCAGTCGGGGGCGTAAAATGTGTAAAACTCAACTTGACGGCTCCGTTTTGCGGCTCTCTGATGAATGAGATTAACCGGCGAGCCGAAATCCACCCCCTTTTCGGGCCTCGCGACAAATGAGTGCAAATGACCTCAACGCAGGACAGGGAATACGGGAGCAGCAACCCCCGAACCTGTTCCTTATCCTATTTCTATTCCCGCTACCGCTGTCGTTACCGTTCCCGCTTTTCTGGTCCTCTAAAAGCGGTGCCCATCCGCAATACTCGTTCTTCTTGGCTTTTTTACGACACTGTAACTGAATTTATTATGCACTTGGCTTATGTTGTTTATGGATAATTCCATAAAGTTCTACACAGCAGCCGATTAATTAAAAATCGCATGATGTTTTGCATACCATATAGCTCTACTCACAGATTGATCACTTAATATGCACAAATGAACCTTGCACTTGTTATTGTGCCAAAGTTCCAGCGGTTATTTTTAAGCACAAGCTTTTTGTATATTGAATATTCAGTTCAATTTTCGATAGTATATTTTACACAATTGCGCGACGAAAAGCTCCTCACTCAACGTTTCAACTGCGACTGTGACTCGTTCGTTTTAAATGGCGATTATTTTGGCGTCTCGCCACAAACTTTTACCTCCTTTAACACTCGCTGTTAAAAGTTAACAGTCAAGGCTAACAGCGTCCAGCAAGTGGACAGCACCGCTGTTAGGCTTATCGATTGCCAAGCCGTGTGCGAGCGAGACGGCTAGACAGCTCCACTGAGACTCCAAAAAAGGGTGGACAGCTTTGCTTTTTAGCTCAGCGTAGGAAATTGTTTGTTGCAAGCGTAATAATCACTAGCTAATCACTTTCTAGCACAAGATTCATTCTATCCGTTGTATTTGTTTATGTTTTCAACGCACTGGCGACGCACATATCTTTCAAACGAACCATTGTGGCAACCGGAGCGGAGCAAAGTTGAAGGCGAACTGAAGCCGGCGCCTTTGGTGGTAGAAAAAAACCTGCCACCCAAAATGAACCACCCCTGCGGCATGTTCTCTCGCTCTCTCAGCACACATTGCAAAACTCCCCCCACTTTTCTCTCTGTGACTTTCTCCCTTGGCATAGTGCTTTTGTTTCTGTTAGGCACAGTTCACTGTACTCAATTTTGGCGCCCTATCAGAGTACTACATTTTACGAATTGAATTACTATATAGAGTTTTAGATAAATAAACCAGATAAATATTTTTGTCTATATTTAATACAGCAATTGTGTAAAATATACTATTGAAAATTTGTCATTATAATCATTGTAAGCAGCTTGTATGTATAAATAACCATTAGGTATTACTCACAATTACAAGCCCAAGGTTAATTTGTCCATCTTAATTGATTAACATTGATCTTTATTGTTAAAGTATTTCCATATAAAAATCAATTAGTAAATTAATACTGGCAGTGTCGTAAAAAAGTAACAAAGAAAATGTATTGCGGATAGGCACCGCTTTTAAAGGACCAGAAAACCGGAAACGATAATGGAAAAGAAATAGGTTTAGTTAATGTTTTACGGTCGTACAATGATCCTTATGTGTAGAGTGTGACCCCTAGTAGGGACCAATTTGATTTTCTAATAACTTTGAATCGATGAACTTTTACTTGAAAATTATAATATATATATATTAATAATAAACACTAAATTTAAGACTGGAAGATCTCCGTCAGCGAGCATTTTTTTGAAACTAACCAACTGTCCCCAAATTTGGCGCCCAAGCAGGGACATCTTAGATCATCACACCCAACCATGTTGGTATGTATTTACCATCATCACACGGATTTCCTTCACCAAATGTGCATTTGCACTACTCAAACGCTTGCTAAAAAGCCGCTGAAAAATGGGTGGGTGGTGTCGTGAGCTCTTATCAGATGGCAAGTGTAACATGAGACTTGTGCGTCTGCTGTCTGGACTTGCCTTGGAATCAAATCGATTTCGAAGCAGCACCACCCCCAGTTCTACTATCGATGAGTTGGCGCGCAAAAGGAGCCGTGTCCTGTAATTTGTCGCCGCACGACAGTGACGCAAAGTGCCTGTCAGTCTGCCACGGAGGTCCACCCACAGATGGTCCCTCCCCCTGATTCCTGGACAATTTAATTATAGCCGGAGACGGAGCGCAGACGGAGTCGGGGCTTTAAGGTAACTGGAGCTAGCACGCTCCCTAAGAGCCTACGTCAGAAACACCGGGAACATGCGTTTATCTCGTAATTAAATTTAAATGGGATAACTTTGTGGCCGGGCGTCACTTCCGCCGCACAAAGAAATTAGCGGCTGTCTAGGCTTTTCCAAGGGAAAACGCACCAAGATAGCAGGCCGGAATTATAATGGACAGGCGACTTGGCTTTTAATCGCCTTTCGGACTCTTCTGTAATTTTTGCCTGTGTTCCAACTGTGACAATTGTGAGCTTCTATGATCAAAGTATAAAAAGTCTTGAATCCATCTCTTGTTTTCCTTAAAATGGTTTTACTTATCTAACATTGTTGGAGTTTTAATGCAATCAATAGATAGTTTGTAAGTTTTTTATTAGTTTAATAAATCCTAGACAGATCGAGTAATTCCATTTTACTCTTCAACTGGCTAGGTCGTACTAGAGTCTGCTTGTAACTTTTTAGTCAGTAACCACTCTAAAAAAAATATGATACATGTAATGTTTCCCAGTCACCCATTATATTTATATATGAATAAACCCTATCACCAAATTACTATAGCTAGATTAAAGATCATGTCACTTATAGTTAAGGCTTCTTTGGTTCTTTCACCTTAGCCATTCGCTCATCGAGGCATTTTCCACTTCGGAGGTCGAACCAGTTTCCGGGAGTGCAGTAATGCAAAACAGCCTTTCCCTTTAGGCAAACATAATACCTATTATGGTGATTGATGTCGCCGAATCGTGTATCCTCTTCCACTTTGCTGCAATCCACTACTTCATCTGTAAGCAATGCCTGATGTAAATCAGCCTGGCCCTCGTCTATTGAGCACTGAACCAGGCTCGGGTAATTGCAAAAGTTCGAATTCAGGTCAAAGTGTAGACCCCTAGGACACTGCCGAGATATAGCCCGTCCATTGGCGCAGATATAGAACTTACTGCATGACCGTGAATCCCGAACGTAAGCCCCATTTTTTAATGACTTGCAGTCAGGACCAGATTCTGGGCTCCAGGGTCTCGTAACAGATTCCGGAACCTCATCGACAGAGCAATCTACCAGACTGGGAAAATTGCAGACCTTCCTCTTGATGTCAAAGTTCAGATTTCTGGGGCATTGGCCGGGAATCGGCTTTCCATTCAGACAAACATAATATTTATTGCATGACTGAGCGTCCCTTAGGAAGACTCCATTTGGCAAGTTGCTGCAATCAGTTCTTTCTTCTTGGTCACTGGCCGTTCCTTCCATAGAGTGTTCTAAAGTTGATGTTCTACCCACGTTACCCTGCGTCGAACTTGTTGGACTCCTATCGTTGGTGCACTGTGTTTCTCTAGTAGAGCAAATATTTCCTTTAGTTGTAGTTGTTGAACTCTGTGGAGTTCGGGACGGGGTGCACGGTGTGGTACCAGTCGATGGCTTTGCTGATGATTTTGTGGTCAATGGACTTTCAGATGTTGATCCACTGCCTTGCCTCAAACTATCTGATGATGATGTTGTGGTCCACGGAATTTTAGAGGTTGGTCCAATATCTTGCGTCGACTTACCCGATGAAGATTCTGTCGATGATTGTGAGGACAACGTATTTTCAGAGGTTGATTTACTATGTGGCGTCGACTTATCTGATGAAGATTGTGTTGATCCTGTGGACATAGGACTTTCAGAGTTTGGTCCACCAACTGGCCTCGAACTTTCTAGCGAAGATTCTGTGGGCAACGGACCTTCAGAGGTTGATTCACTTTTTTGCGTCGACTTAACAGATTCCAGAACCTTATCGATAGAGCAATCTACCAGACTGGCAAAATTGCAGACCTTCCTCTTAATGTCAAAGTTCAGATTTCTGGGGCAGTGGCCGGGAATCGGCTTTCCATTCAAACATACATAATATTTATTGCATGACTGAGCGTCCCTTAGGTAGACTCCATTTGGCAAGTTGCTGCAATCAGTCCTTTCTTCTTGGTATCTGGTCGTTCTTTCCATAGAGTGTTCTAAAGTTGATGTTCTACCTACCTTACCCTGCGTCGAACTTTTTGGATTCCTATCGTTGGTGCACGGTGTTGATCTAGTAGAGCAAATATTTCCTTTAGTTGTAGTTGTTGAACTCTGTGGAGTTGGGGACGGGGTGCACGGTGTGCTACCAGTGGATGGCTTTGTTGATGATTTTGTGGTCAATGGACTTTCAGATGTTGATCCACTGCCTTGCGTCGAACTATCTGATGATGATGCTGTGGTCAACAAACTTTTAGAGGTTGATTCACTTTCTTGCGTCGACTTATCTAATGAAGATTCTGTCGATGATTTTGTGGACGGACTTCCTGAGGTTAATTCACTATCTAGTGTCGAGCTTTTCGATGAAGACTCTGTTATTGATTCTGTGGTCAACGGATTTTCAGATATCGACCCATTGTCTTCCGTCGACTTATCTGATGAAGATTCGGTAGATGATCCTGTGGACAACGGACCTTCAGAGGTTGATCTACTATCTTGCGTCGACTTATCTGATGAAGATTCCGTTGATGATCCCGTGGACAAAGGACTTTCAGAGGTTGATATACTATCATGTGTCGTACTTTCTGATGAAGACTCTATTGATGATTCTGTGGAGGACGGACCTTCAGAGGTTGATTCACTTTCTTGCGTCGAATTATCTGATGAAGATTCTGTCGATGGTTCTGTGGTCAACGGACTTTTAGGGGATGATCCACTTTCCTGCGTCGAACTATCTGATGAAGTTTCTGTTGATGATTCTGTGGACAACGGACCTTTAGAGGTTGATTCACTGTCTTGTGTCGAACTTTCAGATGAAGACTCTGTGGTCAACGGATTTTCAGAGATCGACCCACTGTCTTCCGTCGACTTACCTGATGAAGATTCGGTAGATGATCCTGTGGACAACGGACCTTCAGAGGTTGATCCACTATCTTGTGTTGAACTGTCTGATGAAGATTTTGTCGATGATTCCGTGGCCAATGGACTCACAGAGCTTGATTCACTATCTTGCGTCGAGTTATCTGCTGAAGTTTCTGTCGATGGTTCTGTGGTCAACGGACTTTCAGAGGTTGGTTCACTATCTATAGATGTTGATCCTGTGGACAACGGACCTTCAGAGGTTGATATACTATCTTGTGTCGAACTTTCTGATGATGACTCTGCTGATGATTCTGTGGACAACGGACTTGCAGAGGTTGTTTCACTATCTTGGGTCGAAATATCTGATGAAGATTCTGTCGATAATTCTGTGGTTAATGGACCTTCAGAGGTTGATTCACTATCTTGCGTCGAATTATCTGTTGAAGATTCTGTCGATGGTTCTGTGGTCAACGGACTTTCAGAAGTTGGTTCACTATCTATAGATGATGATCCTGTGGACAACGGACTTTCAGAGGTTGATTCGCTATCTGGCGTCGAACTTTCTGATGATGACTCTGCTGAGGATTCTGTGGACAACGGGTTTTCAGAGGTTGTTTCACTATCTTGCGTCGAATTATCTGATGTAGATTCTGTTGATGATTCTGTGGTCAACGGACCTTCGGAAGTTGATTCACTATCTTTCGTCAAATTATCTGATGAAGATTCTGTCGATGGTTCTGTGGTCAACGGACTTTCGGAGGTTGGTTCACTATCTATAGACGATGATCCTGTGGACAACGGACTTTCAGAGGTTGATTCGCTATCTTGCGTCGAACTATCTGATGAAGACTCTGCTGTTGGTTCTGTGGACAATGGACCTTCAGAGGTTGATTTACTATCTGGCGTCGAACTTTCTGATGATGACTCTGCTGAGGGTTCTGTGGACAACGGGTTTTCAGAGGTTGTTTCACTATCTTGCGTCGAATTATCTGATGTAGATTCTGTTGATGATTCTGTGGTCAACGGACCTTCGGAAGTTGATTCACTATCTTCCGTCAAATTATCTGATGAAGATTCTGTCGATGGTTCTGTGGTCAACGGACTTTCGGAGGTTGGTTCACTATCTATAGATGATGATCCTGTGGACAACGGACTTTCAGAGGTTGATTCGCTGTCTTGCGTCGAACTATCTGACGAAGACTCTGTTGATGATTCTGTGGACAACGGACTTTCAGAGGTTGATTCACTATATGGCGTCGAACTTTCTGAGGATGACTCTGCTGAGGATTCTGTGGACAACGGGTTTTCAGAGGTTGTTTCACTATCTTGCGTCGAATTATCTGATGTAGATTCTGTTGATGATTCTGTGGTCAACGGACCTTCGGAAGTTGATTCACTATCTTCCGTCAAATTATCTGATGAAGATTCTGTCGATGGTTCTGTGGTCAACGGACTTTCGGAGGTTGGTTCACTATCTATAGATGATGATCCTGTGGACAACGGACTTTCAGAGGTTGGTTCGCTATCTTGCGTCGAACTATCTGATGAAGACTCTGCTGTTGATTCTGTGGACAATGGACCTTCAGAGGTTGATTTACTATCTGGCGTCGAACTTTCTGATGATGACTCTGCTGAGGGTTCTGTGGACAACGGGTTTTCAGAGGTTGTTTCACTATCTTGCGTCGAATTATCTGATGTAGATTCTGTTGATGATTCTGTGGTCAACGGACCTTCGGAAGTTGATTCACTATCTTCCGTCAAATTATCTGATGAAGATTCTGTCGATGGTTCTGTGGTCAACGGACTTTCGGAGGTTGGTTCACTATCTATAGATGATGATCCTGTGGACAACGGACTTTCAGAGGTTGATTCGCTGTCTTGCGTCGAACTATCTGACGAAGACTCTGTTGATGATTCTGTGGACAACGGACTTTCAGAGGTTGATTCACTATATGGCGTCGAACTTTCTGAGGATGACTCTGCTGAGGATTCTGTGGACGACGGAATTTCTGATGAAGATTCTGTCGATGATTCCGTGGTCAACGGACTTTCAGAGGTTGATTCACTATCTTGCGTCGAATTTTCTGGTGAAGATTCTGTCGATGATTCTGTGGACAACGGACCTTCAGAATTATCTGATGAAGATTCTGTCGATGGTGGTGTGGTCAACGGACTTTCAGAGGTTTGTTCACTATCTATAGACGATGATCCTGTGGACAACGCACTTTCAGAGGTTGATTCGCTATCTTGCGTCGAACTATCCGATGAAGACTGTGGGGATGATTCTGTGGACAACGGATCTTCAGAGGTGGATTCACTATCTGGCGTTGAACTTTCTGGTGATGACTCTGCTGAGGATTCTGTGGGCAACAGACTTTCAGAGGTTTCACTATCTTGCGTTGAATTATCTGATGAAGGTTCTGTTGATGATCCTGTGGAAAACGGACTTTCAGAGGTTGACTCACTATCTGGCGTCGAACTATCTGATGAAGGTTCTGTTGATGATTCTATGGACAACAGACTTTCAAAGGTTGATTCACTATCTTGTGTCGAACTTTCTGATGAAGAATCTATGGTCAACGGATTTTCAGATGACGATCCACCATCTGGTGTCCAACTTTCTGATGAAGATTCCGTGGACAACGGACTTTCAGAGGTTCTTAGTAATGATTCCGATGACAAAAGCTCCTTTATGGTTTCGGTTGATGATTCTGTGGACAAGGGGTTATCCGAACTTGCACTATTTTCTTGGGTAGAACTTTCTGGAGCAGATTCAGTTGAGAAGCTTTGTGAACTTAAATCAATCTCAGTTGATGACTCTGTAGAGAAAGGACTTTTTGACCTTAAGATTAGATCTTCTAAGAAACCTTCTGTGGACGAGGTACTTTCCGAGCTTGAGATACTTGCTTGCGTGGAACTTTCTGCAGCAGATTCAGTTGGTGATGAACTGTCCGTCACGCTTGTTGATGATTCTGGATTGATTGAGATTGAGGGAATTTCAGAACTTGTTGATGATTTTGTAGACAATGGATTCTCCAAGCCTAAGCTTTCTACTAAGGAAAATTCTGTGGACAAAGCATTTTCAGTGTTTTTCGATTTAGCTGGGTATGATAATAATTTTGTGAAAAACAATTTTTTTGAGCTGGAGCTAGTTTTCTGTGTTGAAATGTCTGGTTCAGATCCTATTGACGAATTTGGCGATCTGGAATCGATCTCAATTTGAGCTTCTGAGCTTAATATGCTATTCTCAGTAGACCTGCCCAGAGAATCATCTAGGGGGCTGGGAGTTGTTGCATTAATGGAAGACAACGGGTCAATCTCCTCAGCTCCATAAAGTAATTGCAGATGAGAAATTGGGCTGGATTTCGGGGGCGAAGAAGTCGTATTCTCGGAGCTGCCCCATAGACTTGCAAATAAATTGAAGTTTCCAAAGATGTTAAATATAACTGGTCTGTCCACGTTCACATTTTGTGTGATGCTAACTTCATTTTTATCCGAATTCTTTTTTGGGGCTTGAAGTGTTTTTGGGGTTGGCTGGTTATTAATCACACATCCCTGCGTCTGGTCATCAAAAAAATATCCATCTTTGCATGTATTTTTTATGTGGCCAAGGAAACCCAGGCAGAGATAATACGAATGGGGATCTTCGAGGTCAACTGCTCTGGATCCAAACGATTGTCCTGCGCAAGAATCCGTTGCCAGGGCCTGAGGAAGGATCCAAAGAAAAGCCCAAAGGACTTTCACTGAAAAAATCAGGGATATAATATTTGTTAAATTAGTTACTATGTATCTTACTTACCAACTTGCATTTTAGAAACACATTGAAGAAAATGCAACGGGGCAAGCAAGTTCCCGCCTTTTATACTTTACTGTTCCGCTGAAAAACAAGTAACCTCAAGTGGAATGTGTAAAGAAAATTGTAAAGTACAAGTATTTTAAATAAATTAAACACTAGCCAAAACAGAGTGGTTCTTGTGTGTGGAACATTTGTCCGATAATGGAATCGGAAATAGTTCGCCAAAGTATAGCGTAACAGTGCAAAACAAATGACGACCTAATAACAATACCTATTTCTAGGAAAAGATTTGTATTACACCTATCTATTATAAGATTTTCATTCACTCGGAGTCATTTGTATAGTTTCTCAGGGGGTTACATCTCTGTAGAAGGTCATTTTTTACCTTTTCGTTTACTATTCCTTGAAAATAGGACTTGACTTCAGTCTGGGAAGTTTTTACGTTGTGAAATTTTCCTTTCGAAAAATCTTTTTAGCCTAAAAAGAAATATGATTGACTAAAAATTTGCAAAACTCCGATAGACATATTTCATGTGATCTTTAATTAGGAATACAATTTTATCAAAAAAGTTAGTTTAACCTTGTCAAAAATTGTCTGTGTATGCCTTTTAAACTATTCAATTCACTTGCTTATAAAAAATGTATTTCATAAAGCATTTTCATTCTCCATTGTAAATTATCTCTGTCTGTTGGGGTCTTAATAAAAGATATTCAATCAACCAAAATGTATCGCAATTTTCAAATTGGATTATTCTTTAGATTAAGAATGAGATTTTTAGTAAACCATATGAAATATCAATTATAACATCAAATTACAATAATTAATACAAATCGGAAAGAACAATTACTTCTAAGATCATGATAAGCCGTTAGATAGCCTATTGAAAGCTGTTCCGAGCGCATTTGTAGTCTTCATAATCTTTCTAATCTGGACGCATAATGGCGCTGTCAGCAAGCCTTTATCGCAGCTCACCTTGCGCGGACGCCAATGTCGACCGTTGTAGACCTGCGGGCGATAGTGTAACGGCTGCCATAGCCCACCTTCCGCCCCTCGGGTGGAACCACCGCCCAACCTAGGAACCCATTTGCCTTACACCTCCACCCACCGCCCCTTGGCGGCCCAACAGTTCCGATTAGTTGTTCAGATAACGGGGCCGTCTCAGCACTTATCGTACCCGTATTCTTGCAATGATTACTCAAAACCCCGGGGCACTTGCTGTTGTTGTTGCCTTGGGAGGGGCGGGACAGGTGGGCGTTATTACTATTTTTAGAATGATAGAAAGCTTCGGGCGGGAAGCTCCGGACTCCACCATATAGCAGTGTTTTGGCCCGCACTCTTATCGTAACTTGTGTGGCTTCGAATGTACCTAGTTGAGGAAAAATCCCATGTTGGATTTTGTTACCTCTGGTATTCGAGCCAATAAGTTCGGCCACGAATTCGCATTTTATCTTTTGCATTTTTATTATTTTTGATTTTTGTTTTTTTTTTTATTTATTTTTGAATTATTTGCAGCATTTTTTTGGCCAGTGCACGGGGTCACCTGCACCCACTTAAATGGCCAAAAATTGCCATGTCCAGACATTCGCCAGCAGTGATATCAGCGAATTTTGATAGCTCCTCTGCGAGGTCTAGTTGTTTAACTTTGCCCACCAACAAAAATGCATACACTCGTGCTAATTTTGATTTAAGTGGCCTTAAAGCGGTTTACCTATCATGGGGCCTATGTTAAGTTTAAGTTCCGAAAAAGAATAATCACTTATTATGATAATTTACTTATTTACCAAGAAAGGTACTCTTTTAAATTTCCTTTTTCTGTCTGGTCATAATAGTAGATCTATATATAGACTATAAGGAACAAAACGTGATTAGCAAATAAAATCAAATCTCTGAGAGTGACTTATATATCTTAATTAGGAGTCGGATTGTATTTATATTATATTATATTATTATATTTCTTAAAGATCCGCTTCCTTTGACTATTGACTGGTTACAATTTTGGTATACAAAATAACAGTTGCATTAGATATTTAACTAACAATCAAGTATCACCAGAAATTGTATGTTAAAATATTTCACATATAAACCGACGTGTACTCATAATGTATCTTAACCTACAATAACTTAAGAATATCTTTGCTCAAGTATCTATCACTTTATCAAATACCGAAACCCACATTGTTTCTAGCCAACAAAAAACCGTTTGGCAAGAAAATCGAGATGAATTTGCATATTGTAGAAAATGCTGCAATGGATTAGAGTGGTCTCGAAACTACACTTTTCAGTGCTTAGGAAACCAGCGTCTCCGTGCAAATTGCATTTGGGCCAGTGAGCCGAGCACTTGCTCATCCGTTAGCTAACGAGACCATTCCAAACACGATAACGATCAGGAAAAGTGCACATATCAAGCCGGCGTCTATGGGGTTATACCCAAAGACAACCCCCAACCCTCAGGAGGGTCTTCACTTGCAGTTGCATTCTATATAATCAGCATGCTATCACCTTAGCAGCGATAAGCGTCCATTAAAGGGTTGACTGTCAATAGACTTAAAACGACTCAAAATTCAGTTGAGACTGGATCAAGAACAAAATAAATTCGGCTTTAATTACACGGGGACCTGAACTCGACTCCTAGTTGCCAAGCTCCACTGTGTCCATGGTCCTGTACTGCTCCCTTTGCAGACGATTGCCATAAGTGCGGGACACCAGATTCCAGGCGTCCATGAAGCGATCCATGCACTGCGAAATGCACTTCTGCTCGGTGGTGTCCAGTGATTTACCCGGCTTCTGAATGCACTTCTTGAAGCACTTCTCCGTCATCTTCGAGAGCATCTCCTGGGCGTTGGCCAGAGCGATCTGCTGCTTCACCTGGCTCATCAGCTCCCCCTTCTCCATGTTGGCGGCCGCCATTTCGGACAAACAATTTAATTTATAATTTCCTCAGATCTGAACACTAAGTTTAAGTTTATGTTTTAGTCAAAACACGGGAGTCGGACTGAAATATCGCAGCTTACTGTTTACTAGGGGGATAAAACAGAAAACCAGTTTCGATGGAAAGCGAAGTGCTGTAAGTACTATTATTGTTCATCACTACCAGCTAATACCTAACCATGTAAGTAAGTTTGTCATTTCTCCAATAGAAAAAAGGATCACGACTTAGACATGTCGCAAAATAAAAAATTCTTTAAAAAAACGATTTATCATAAATAATAAAATTTAAAATTTATGTTGATAATTTCGATTTCGATTAAATGCTTTGGGTATGCCAAATCTTAGTTGAAGTTTAGCTCCCAAAAATCGAGAATTTTTTTGTTCAGTATAATAATCTGAATATTTCCCAGTTTTAAAATCAAACAGCATTTGTTTTATTAATTTGTTTTGCTCATATATTTGTGCCAAAAATAATTATTACACCAATTTAAACAGTTAAGTCTCCCTAGCTCTTACCAAAAAATTTGATTTGCTTCTAAACTTGTTTTTTTATTTATATAAAACCATTTCATACTTTAAACATTTGCTTTTTATCGGTTACGAAGTACTATTTAAAATACTCAGGCAGATATAGCTCTTAAATGTTTTTTTTTTTTATAAAAATATAATCTGTAGATTGCGGTGTGTTCTCTTATAGATATTTTACAATATTCGTTTAGTTTTTTAAGACACTTTTAGTTCTTGTTCTCTCTGATAGTAATTTACTATTTCCTTGTAAATTGTTGTAAGTAGTTAAAAGTTGAGTTTAGACCCAAACACAGATGCTTGCCAAAGGCGAAATCTCATTCAGATACTGAAAGCAGGTTGTGAAGAGTATTCCTTTTATTCTTATAATCCGATCAAAAAGGAAAGCGTTTTAAATAATATCATCTGTGCGTTCTTCTTTTTGCTAAAAATTAGTCATGCCAAAATAAATATATGTAAATTTTAGTTTTTATTTAATTTAAAAGGGATAAGGAATAAAAGGGATTATTGATTTATTTCACCGTTAAGATATATAGTGCACTTCTTTAAATTGAATTAAAATATTTTAAGTATAGGGATTTAAAACTCTTTAATAGATATATTGCGAAAATGGTATTAGGCGTAATACTGAACTTCTTTTTAACTACTCCAAAAGAACATTTACCGTTTACCTACAAAAGAATGTTTTGAACTAACAACTACCAATATATTCAATTTCCTGAATTCCCAAGGTGCACAATAAAATGTATTTTTCTTATTTAATTTCAAATATTTAAGTAAAAGTAGAAAACACGTGCAAAGTTTAACTTTAGAGTTATAATTACATTTAAATGTCCAAAGAATGTTTAGTGTAGTCGGTATAAAATATTTACATCTGAGGCACAAATCGAAAGATAATATTTGTATATGGAATGTACAATCACTTCGAGTAAGTAAGTATTATTGCGATCAAGAGAAGACAGGCACAAACATATATTAGTATTGCATAATCCTAAGCCAGATTGTCGGTAGGCAGGGTGTCCCTAGTGGTTCAGAGCTCGACTCTCAGTTCTGGTCAGTTCCTGGGCACGGAACCAAGGCGATGCCAGTCGCAGAGCTCCTGGCGCAGGTCGAGCTTCGCTAGATCCAATTCGAAGCCCCCCAACAGCTCGTTTTCTTGCAGCGTGTCGTGTGACCAGACGGTTACCTGCAGCCGGCGCTCTTGAATAATATTCAGGGGCATTCGGTACTCCAACTATTTGTAAAACAAAAGTTATTATTCATTAGGCTGTCGAAATTTTTAAAGAAATACTAACCGTTTCCATGAAACTGGGAACACAGGTCTTGCGCACCACTTTGGTCTTGCGTTTGGTCTCCTTTTTGGGATCCGGTTTTAGGTAGCACTTCACATAGGTGTTGGGCTCCTGACCACCCTGTAACATGGGCAGCCCTTTGGCGTGGTGTATCTGGAATACAGATATACTCCATTAGACTAATTATGAATAATGTATTATCTAGTAACACCCACCATCACAGTAAGTACGCCGCGTTGATATTGCAGCGAGAGTCGAATTTGGCCAATCTCGTTGGGGTTATCTC